CCTCCAGCCCCCTAATCCTCTTTGTTGCTCTTCTCTGCCCTCTTTCTAGAGTCTCCACATCTTTTCTACATCATGGCAACCAGAACTGAATGCAGTATTCCAAGTGTGGCACTTGTGTTAGCAAACTAAATAAAATGTTAATATTGATATTTTTGGTACTCATTTGACTGGTATTTGAACCTTAGGGCTTAAAACTTTGTTTTCTATTTTTTTCCAGTTGCTTCCTATATAAGTACCTGCCTGTGGAGCAGTATTCCTTTGTGTCAGGCGAAGATGCTTTGTGCAAGTTGGACAACAACTTACCAAGACCTTGCCCTGTAGAGCAGATTTTTCCTACCGTCCCCAAATTGGTGCTGTGTAGTGGCAGATATGTAAGTAATTCCATAATCATGTAAAATCTTTAGTTAAAGCTTCTGTGTAAGAAATATGATTTCTGAGACCTATTTTTCCTACTATTTGTTTTTGTATTTTTTTTTAAATTTTATATTATGAAGTAATAAAAAGGACACTTTAATTGGGAAAAAAAGATGGCAGCCACTGAAGGGCCACCATTAGAACCATCCTTTGAATTTTCATTCTCTCTCTCTCTCTCTCTCTGCCCCCACTCTCTCTATCTCTCATATGCGCACATATATCTCAAGACAGACATTTCATTACCATACTAGGTACCATCATCAGTGTTTGATGCGAGTGGGGTTTGCATTGATGATGTTACCCAGTTGGGTAATGAAACAAACAAGCTCAAGACAGCACCAAGGACCTCATAGTTCAATCCTGAGTTACAAATATTTTCTTAGATACACCAATATCTTTTTGGGGGAAAGTTATTTAATTTTGTAAGTCTATCTGTGTCTGTTATTTTTTTTAAGTCAAGTTTTTATTTATTTATAAGTATTTTGAATGCAGTTTATTGTCCAGGCATACCATCTTACAAAAAAGAAAGAGAGTAAAAAAGATAACACATATACTGATAGCGGTAATAATAATATAACAAAATAGTTTCTAATCATATTTATAAAAATATTCACTTACATTTGTTCTTATTAAATATATTAACTTACATATAATTATAAACAACATTCATATTTTACTTAAGCCTAACAATACGCTTTCTTCATCTAATTTCTACCTCTTATCTCTAACCATTGATGAAACGTATTCCAGGTTAAATAGTATTCTGTGTCTCCTTTATCTTTTATTTTCAATGTCAATCTATCCATCTCCGCACAGTCCAATATTTTCTGGATTATATTTTCATCTGTTGGGGTGTTCTCATTTTTCCAGTTTTGTGCAAATGTAATTCTCACTGCTGTCAATACATGTAACATTAAGTATATAGTTCTTTTGTCATAGTTTTCTGGTATTATACCTAACAAAAATATTTCTGGTTTAAGATCTATGTGTTGCTTTTATCATCTTCTCCAAACATGTATGTATTTTTGTCCAATATTTGCTTGCCTTCACACCTGTCCACCACATATGATAATAACTACTTGGAGTCTGATTACATTTCCAACATTTGGTGGACATGTTGTTAAACATGTTTGCTAACTTAGCCAGTGGCAAATGCCACCTATAAAACATTTTGTAAAGATTTTTTTTACATGCAGTAGCCATTGTCAATTTATAGATTCTCTTCCAAATTTTTTGCCATTTGTCTAATTCTATCGTATAGCCCAAGTTTTTTGCCCATACTTTGTCTGTTACTTCTGATAGACTCATGTCAAGCTACATCATTGGCTGCCTACGGGTCTCAAATCAATGCTGGAGTTGAACTTTTATTTTTGAGTACGGTTCAAAACTTTCATTTGAATGCTGCTGCTTATGTTTTTACTAGAAGACAAACATATATCAGTCTTGGTTGTCCCATACGTCTTCTACAAGAAGTTTCCTGAAAATGTTGTCTTGAAAAAAATTCCCAAAGATGCTTTTTCAAGAGGCAACTTGACTTTCTGGTTTTTCTTTGAAGAAGTTTTGCTTCTCATTCAAGAATCTTCTTCAAGCTCTGGCTGGATGATGGGGAATGGGAGGAATGGAATGGAACAGTTGAAAATATTCTGTCTATCAGTCCTTTCAACAGTTCCAAGAAGGCTCCGCACCCATTTGCACTATTCAGGTGACCCTAATGATACAGATAAACCTCCAAGTGGCCTCAACGACCCTCTAAAAGGATGCAGATGTGTAGCTGTCTGCAAGAAACACAAATCCTTCCATTCCCCACTGTTCTGTTCCCCCCTCCTTCACTTGTTAACAGACAACAGGCAAATAAAAGGAAAGGGAATTCTCTTTATCAGTTCTCAGCTTCAAAATGGCTGTGAGCCAAACTAAACTAATTAAAGTCTCTGCCAGAAGATAACGGACTCAAACATAAATCTTTCTTACTGCAAATACAAGATGAATCAAACGGAAGC